AGTGTGTGGTGTCCTCCTGTATGGATTCAGCTCAGGTGCCCAGGTAGACAGCCAAGTGTGTGGTGTAGGCTCTCACCTACAGTCCTAGACAGGCATGGGTGATTGGTGTAGGCACAGGCATCTGGCTGCAGCAGGGGGACATACTCTGAGCAAGGCAGGGGGCTGACAGCTGCCCCTGAGTGTCCCGGAGGAAGGTGTGTCCCTGTTCCCCACAGCACGTAGGTGGGTGAGTTTTGCAGCCGGACTATGAGCACCCAGTGCTATTGGCTGTAAGGACTGGGGGGCACCTGTTCTTCATAGGCCCCTCTCACAGGTGGCTAGGTGGTGTGGATGGAGCCACCAGTCCTCAGGCCTGTGATGTGGGTAGGTGAAGACCCTGCTTAATGGGCAGAGCAATGTCAAATGTCACGAACTTGTCACTTCACAGCTGAAATAGTTGGAAGTTAGACTTCAGGTATATACTCTGTTGTACTGCAGTAATGAGGGCCTACGCTGTTGAAATGGGCCCACACAGGTCTCTGCAGGGGGAAAAGCACTCAAAGTCCATGGATCCCCTATGCCTGTGCCTAGGCAAAGGAGCTGTACCTACCCTGGGTTCCTGGCTTTTGGGAGCTGGCAGTTTATTTTTTCCCCTGTTTGTTAATTTGTTCACTCTCCAAGGCCAGGAGAATGGCTCAGGGTGTGTGACGGATTCTACTTTATACATACTACTTTCTCCAACTCATATGATATTGACTTGCATCCCCCAGAAATATGTGTATCAATTTTTTCTAAGCCATGAATCCTGGTGTTGTGTGATTGTCCACCATGTTGTCATCTGATTTTCCTATGTGTTGTAAATCCTGTCACTATGATGTTAATGAGATGGATTAGCGACAGTTATGTTGATGAAAGCTACAAGATTAGATTATGTCTTAAGCCAATCTCTTTTGAGATACAAAAGAGAGAAGCAAGCAGAGAGAAATGGGGACTGCATACCACCAAGAAAGCAGCACCCGGAGCAGAGCGTGTCCTTTGGACCCGGGGTACCTGTGCCTGAGAAACTCCTCGACCAGGGAAGGATTGATGACAAGGACCATCCTCCAGAGCCGACAGAGAGAGAAAGCCTTCCCTTGGAGCTGATGCCCTGAATTTGGACTTGTAGCATACTAGACTGTGAGAGAATAAATTTCTCTTTGTTAAAGCCATCCACTTGTGGTATTTCTGTTACAGCAGCACTAGATAACTAAGACACACACATACCTTCCTTTTTCTGTTTTTAACTTCTTCCACTATTGGGTTTTTTAAAGGTACAATGCCCATGTCTATTCTGCTTTGGAAGTAAAATTTCCATTTGGAGCAGAATGATACATAGGCTGTGTTACCTCATGAGGACGATAGAGATTTGGTTAAGAGTTCACAGATATTACTGGAAATACATTAAGGTTTGTTAAAAGTATACCCTTATCCCATCTTTGTCCAATTATGCCTTGTTTTTACTCAGTGGAAGCAGTTGTCCTTTATGATTGTTCATCAGGTACATTTGACTGCCTACTACATGCAAAACATAAGATACTAGAGATACGAAGATAGGTAAAGCACAATGCCTACCATCAGAAGAGTTCACAACCTAAAAATTAATCTTGAATGTTATTTCAGCTTTCATGATTTAAAGGAAGTTGTTAGGTGCCATTGAGTTGAGAGAAGAGGGGAAAGGAAATGCAGGACTTTGAAACAGTGTTTAAAAAAGAGAAATTTAATAGAGAAAGAAGTGTGTATACATATATATATGTATTTTTTTTTTTTAAGAATTGTGCTGCTTCTGATTGACTGTGATGACATAAGTTGGTGCTAACTTTAAAATGAAGTAATATATTTGAATCCATAAGTCTTAGTATTAAAAGAAAAATTGATGCAAGCAACTTTCAGAAATGCTGTTTTTAGAAAGTAGTTAACTAAAATAACTGAATTTGTTGAGATAAATCTTTATTAAATAATATATTTGTTTTTCACAAAGTAATATTTCTTCACCTGTTGTTATAATAGCATATAATCAAAATATTTTCCTATTGATCATAATGTATTTTTTCTCCTAAATTAATTCAACATTTTACCTCATTTTAGTAGCTCCAACAAAATATAATCCAGCAAAACAAATCAGCAATATTTTTATTAACAAATCCACTGTCTTATCTATTTACTTTTAAATCTTATTGCTTCTGATTTTAGGCTTCTTATATTGGAACAACTTTTGGACAGTATAAAGCACACAAAAGGAGCTCGTCAGCAAGTAGTTCAGTTACATGTTATTTCTTCATTTTCAAGTTTTTTGAAGGTAATCCTATTCAGATGTGTGTGTGTGTGTGTGTGTGTGTGTGTGTGTGTGTGTGTGTGTGGCCAGTTAAGGAGGTAGGAGGATAGTCTTTTTAAAGGGCTATTGCTCTTCTCCCTCTCCCCCCCATTTTCTTAATCTCCTGATGAAAATATCTCAGGATTTGGAATTCTCCTTTTACTTTTTCTCCATATAAAACTTGTTAGTCAGGAATCAAACCTGTATTCTTGGCTTAGAGCCATGCATTAACATACTGAGCCTAATATTCTAGACCCAGGATCAGCATACTCTGGCCAGTGGAACAAATCTAGTTTGCTACCTGTTTTTCTACAGTCTGAGAGCTAAGAGTGGTTTTTACATTTTTAAATGGTTGAAAAAGTTCAAAGATGTATTAATACTATTTTGAGACGTGAAAATTGTATGAAATCCAAAATCATTGTTCATAAATAAAGTTATGGAACAGCCATTCTTGTTCATTTACATATTGTCTGTGGTTGCTTTGGGTGCTGCAGCAGCAGAATTGGGTAGTTGTATTAGAGACCATATGACCTACAAAGCCTAAAATAGTTACTCTTTAACCCTTTACAGAGTTTGCTGACCCCGCTTGATAGTAGAGGTTGTCAAAGTGTTGTCCGTAAACCAGCACTATCCCGCCACCATGAAACTTGATATAATGCAAGTTCTCAGCCTGCATCTCAGACCTACTGAAACAAAGCTGCTTTGTTTTTGAAAATTGTTGGAAATAGTTGGAAAAAAAATCTAAATGGACTTAAATTTGGTCCTTGCCTTGGCATAATAAATGAATGTATGAGGCTTGTGTTTCTTGTAATTTTCAGTTCTTCAAATTAATGTTCCTGAGACCTCATTGAATACAACTAGTAACAGCTACATGTAAGGGCTATTTCTCAAACTCCTAATGGCTAAGGAAGAAGACAAAAAAAGAAAAGCTCAGAAAATCACCATAAAGGAACTAGAGTTAAATGATTGCTATAAACCTTCTTCTCAATCAGTAGCATTAATAATCCAAGTGGAGATTTATATTTTACATAGTTATTTCCACCTTATCCTTATGACAGTACCCTCAGAAAATTGATGAGATTTCATGTTTACTTGTTCTGCTACTTGTGATTTGATGTAATGAAATACTGCTTATAAGTTCATAATATGAAGCTAATTTTGTCAAGTCGTAATTACCTTGAAACTCGTTACACTTAATTTTCTGTATTGTTTTCATATTTGATTCTTTATATTATTGTCTGTTGGTTTAATTTGATTGTTACCTTAGTTGACTCATTTTAAATTACAATTTTTAAAACCTCGTTTTTTACTAGTAGACAAGAGTATTTTTAGATCACTTCATAAACGTTGTAAAAATTTGTTTAATTGTGTTGCATTTCTTTTGTTTGAAAGTAAAAATTTACTATGAACGTAGATTTAGAAATGCTCATCCTAACTAAACTTTGGGCCTATGTAGAAAGTCAGTAATAATAATAATAATTTTTAATACTGTATTTTTAAAATTACTTAGCTCAGTGTTGTATTAGCAGCACATTTACTAGCTATGATCATTTCACTATTTTGGCCACCGTCCCAAGCACTGAAGAGTTACTGCAAATGAAACTTGAGGACACAAAATTAAAAATTCATTTTCACCCCAAAAGATAGTATACTATTCAGTACTTATATCTTTTCTATTTAACCATTCAAGCCTCAAAACAATAATCTATCCATCTGTACATTGACAAAGACTAGTAAGGAATCAGAAAAAAAGAACTTTAGATTTCTTTGTGTGGTGGTTTTGTCAGTGACTAGCTTTTTTGTTGTTCTTTAAGAATTTTTTTGGGTAGAAAATTAAAACTGAAGATGCAGAAGTAAGCATGTGAGTTAGGATGGATTTAAAAACAGAAGAATCTGTAAAGAAAATCAGATAAGAGGAAACCCAAGATGAAAAAAAAATTTGAAAAGACCATGAAGATATTATGCCTCTCTAGACTTTTTGTGTTACTACTTTATGACATTACTAAGTGCAAGGAATAATATAAACCCATTGCCAACCAGTTGATTAAGACTCATGGCGACCCTATAGGATAGAGTAGAACTGCCCCGTAGGGTTTCCAAAGATTGGCTGATGGATTCAGACTCCCGACCTGTCGGTTAGCAGCAAAGCTCTTAACCACTGTGCAACCAGGGCTCCTAGGAATAATACAAGAATTATTATTAAAGTTGGGACTTAAAGGGTTATAGCTAAAGCCTCATAGAAGAGGAGAAAAGGGTGACTTGGCTCCTTTTGGATTTGATTTTTCTGTGTGTGTGTCTGCGTGCGTGTGTGCGTGTGTGTGTGTGTGTGTTGAAATTTCTCTTTTTGCATGTATCTTTTAAACAGAAAAAGTAAAAAAAATTCTTTAAAATAATTGTTTTCTGTGTGTTCCTCATTCTAATATAATCTTTCTTATTAGTAAAATAAAGATGACGATTATTAGTATGAAGTCGTTGCATTTTTGTTGTTAAGTAAAATATAATAGGCAGTGGTGGATTAACCAGTAAGCAAGGTAGACAATTTCACATAAGTTGTGCACTACAGATTTGTAAGTAAACACAAGTAAACCCTTGTGTACCTTGCCTATTGGGTAACCCATTCCTAACAATAGGCTACATAGATAATTTTATAGAAATCTGTGTTAACGTGCTTCTGAATACATTTATACTACAGTGATAATTGATTGCCATACTATTTTCCTCGTAGTTTAAAATTCTAAAGTACTTTGTGGAAAAAAAAAGAAACTATATTTGTATATTCAGTGTGGATTTTTTGTATTCGTATTTTTCTTGTTTTAAGTACTAATCCAAGTATGAATATAATTGATTAACCAGAATATACATTCCAAAGTAGATAGGGGAATTTATTATAGTTGTACATTTGGATTCTTCTTTACATATTTCAGTACGTGGCTGGATCCAAGAGAAGTTTATGTCCAGAAAAAATTAGAAGACCTGCCCTAACATTAGTGATGGGAGCCCTAGAAAGTCCCAACCCCCTATTGAGATGTGCTGCTGCAGAGGCATGGGCCAGATTAGCCCAAGTGATGGATGGTGGAGCTTTTACTGCCGGATTAGCTCAAGTTAGCTTTGACAAGTAAGTGCATTTCTTACTCAGTACTCATGGGCTATATGTCAAAACTGGGTATAGCTTGCTGATGTGTTAGAACTAGTGAAATCTTCATTCCAGGATTTAACTAACAAAAGAAAAATGTAGATGCTTTAAAATAAAGGAAAACTCCTTTCATCAGCTAGTTTTGGAAGGTACAACTATCATTACTTCAGCTTCAGTCTTCATATAATGAGAAAACAGTTACTATCTGTATAAGTGATATGACTGACCGTCAGTGGAATGAACTCTGATATATAGTGAGACACTTAGGGAGTTTTATCATGTAAAATTATAGATAATAGGTAGTAAGAACAATCTGCTGGGAAGGGCAAAAGCTGTAGGCTGGAGATTTAGAAACATAAACTGTATTTTCATTTCTACCACTAACTAGCTCTGTAACCTTGGGCAGTTTACTTAATCCTCCCAGCTAAGTTTCCTCTGTTCCACATAGGAGGTTGTTAATACTGCCCTACCTACTTAAGAATGTTAAGGGAAATGAAATATTAAATATGAAAAAAATAAAACAAGTACAAATATAAATTCATGGTAGTTATATTAGTAGTGATGATGCTAGTTTACTGAATATGTGATTCTGATTTGGTTAAAAGCTTGAAATTTGGAGTCACATTACTTGGTTCATATCCCAGCGCTACCATTTAGTAATAGTTGGTTACATTGTGAGAGTTACCTATTGTTTTGGTTTTCTCATCTATAAAAGGGAGCTGATAATAATAAGAACCTCAGCGTGGTTGGGCGGATTAAGGAAGTACTACATGTAAAGCATTTAAATTAGCACAGTGTACATAAAGAATTCCTAATAAATATTAACTTCTCTTATATTTAATTTTACAATCAAAGTTCTTGAGTTGAAATTCTTTTTATATGGAATTCAAGTATCTCTGTAATGTGGCAATTTTAAAAATGTAACATAATGATAAAATCAACAGGAATGTCTGTCTTATAAAATTAGTTTTTATATACATATCTGAAAGACATTGAAACTGTTCATACTTGAGATATCATTATTAGTGTCAAGGTATTTTTAGTCAAAATGTTTTTCTTTTCAAGATAGCTTTCAGGTTATTTCAGAATCTTTTTGTCAGTTAACAGAAAATATAATTCTAAATTTTGCAACTATTCATACAGAAACCTTGGCTTAAGTAACAGTGTACCTGTATTAGCTTTATTTCAGAGACTGTTATTCATTTTTGTTTCCATAATTACAGATTGAAGTCAGCAAGGGATGTGGTTACCAGAACAGGACACTCGTTGGCTTTGGGATCCCTATATAGGTATATAGGAGGAATAAGTTCTTCTCAACACTTGGATTCTTGTGTTGGAATCCTTTATACGTTGTCTCAGGACAGCACTTCTCCTGATATGCAGGTAAGTACCTCATCTGATATTTCCTTGAAAGTCATGATTTATAGATGATGCAGATAATGGTTTTATTGACAGTTATTCATGAATAATGTTTTCTGTCTGTGATAAATGTCAAAGCTATTGTTAACCTTGGCAGATTTTTTTTTTTAACAATTTATTTTATTTTTGTTGTTGAGAATATACGCAGCAGAACATAGACCAATTCAACAATTTTTACCCGTACAATTCAGTGACATTGATCATATTCTTTGAGTTGTGCAACCATTCTCACACTCCATTTCTGAGTTGTTCCTCCTCCATTCACATAAACATGCCCCCTGAGTTTCCTACCTAATCTTTCAAGTTGCTCGTATCAGTTTGATCCTATATAGATAGATGTTAAAAGAGTACAGTACTCGAGGCAAACATTCTTTACTGGTTAAGCTAAACTATTGTGTGGTTTTAAGAAGACTTCAGGGGATATTTTTGGTTTAAGATTTAAAGATTATCTTAGGGCAATCGTTTCAGGAGTACATTGAGCTTCCATGGCTCCAGAAAGCCTGGAGTCCATGAAAATTTTAAATTCTGGTCTACATTTTCCCCCTTTTGATCAGGATTCTTCTATAGAATCTTTGATCAAAACGTTCAGTAATGGTAGCCAGGCACCGTCCGCTTCTTCTGGTCTCATGGCAAAGGAGGCAGTTATTCGTGCAGGCAATTAGCCACACATTCCATTTCCTCCCTCTGTTCTTACTCTCCTTCTTTCTCCATTGCTCTAAGCAAATAGAGACCAGTTGTTGTACCTTGAATAACTGTTGCAAGCTTTTAAGACCCCAGTCACTACGCAAGAACTAGGAGGTAAAACAGAAGCACTAAACACATTATCAGAGCCCTGATGGCACAGTAGTTAAGAGCTCGGCTGCTAACCAAAAAGTTGGCGCTTTGAATCCATCAGCCGTTCCTTGGAAACCCTATGGGGCAGTTCTGTTCTGTCCTGTAGAGTTGCTATGAGTCAGAATTGACTTGACGGCAGTGTTTTTTTTTTTGTTGCTATTGTTGTTTTAAACACATTATTAGGCCAATTAACTGGGGTGTCCCATGAAACCATGACCCTAAACCTCCAAACCAAGTAACCAAATCCCATGAGGTGTTTAGCTGTGCATAAGCAGCCTCAGCAGCTATTCTTTTTGTTGTTGTTGTAAATATATCTGTCACACAACTTTTGCCTTTTCAACTTTTAGTAGGTTTACCAAGATTTGCCCCCAGACACCCTTTTAGCTCAGTGGTGAAGTTACCGCTGAGGTTCACTGTTCAGCCTGGGAGTGGACAGCCCC